GATTTTTAATTGATATAGCTGTGCCAAACACTCATAACTTACAGACCACTTTAGCAGAAAAACTGACCAAATATACAGAATTAAGAGATGAGATAACCAGACTATGGCGTTTGCAAAAAGTAACTATTGTCCCAATAGTTATATCAACCACGGGAGTAATCCAACAATTACCAGTCTTAGTACTCTAAATTACCATCTAACACCTACCACCTTTTGCAAAAGGCAGCTATTTTAAACACCTGCAGACTGGTAAGAAAGTTCCTTCAGTGCGAGTCGGACAATCCAACACAAGCCGCTCACAATCACAACCCAAATCCCGCTGATGGACACTTGGCTTAGGCCCGTGCCATCAGGATTCCCGGCTTGCCGGAGATACAAGAAAGTATATAAAAATAATAATAATAATAATAAAGGAATTTATTTCTCTCAAAAAGGTACATACATAGAAACATTATATCACTATTTAAGTTACAATAGGTTCAACCTTTGTGAGAGCTGGAGTCTATACTGGGTTCAAGACCTGTATGACAGATCTCCAGGTTCACACCCGATGTCACAATAATATAGTAGGTAATTATAATGCAATAGAATACAAGCAATAAAAAGAAACAAATTCCGTGGTCTGAGGGTAGACCAACACCAAACCAGAGTGGATTATATGAGAATGGATGATGAGAATGTGTTTGTCAATTGTGAAAATGAATGTACAGTGCGTGAGTATTCATGTCTTTAGTGTGAGTGTATCTGAAGTTGTGTGTTTGTGTATGTAAGTTGGTGTGCTGTGAAGAATATGTAGACATTACCGAAAGCCGACAACGACGAAGTACCCAACAATGTACCTATGCGAGATTTAAGATAAAACGTGCAGTAATTCTTCAGTGCTATCATAGTCCATGTCAAGAAGCCAGTTCCTGACCGTTTTTTTACATTTAGATTTACACAGAGGATATATGTTAAGTATATTGTTTGCCTTGTTGTATATGTAGCCGCTAAGAAAAGGGAAACTGCGTTGTGCTGATCGACAATTAGTCGAAAAAGGAGGACAAACACTATGCTTACGCCGTTTACCGTCAAACATGGTCGGATCGTAACTAATTTGGGAGTGAGTAGTCAAAAGAATATTCGAAATGAACAATTTTCGTATAGAGAGAACATTACAAATTTTATAAAGATCTGTGGTTGGAAAACGGAAAGGTAGCTTCCAGCCCACTTTCAGGAGTGCACGTTGTGCACGTTCTAGTTTTTAAATAGATTAAGTCCTATTGTAATTGTTTTAAACTTAATAAGGGGGATGTTACATGTATGAACATCACTATTTAGTAAGTAGTGGCCCCCTACTATGTGTTATATAAGGTAGGACACTCGTCAGTAACGCTACTATCTATCTGTCATAGTCTGGTGTGTATACACGTCGTGCGCCCTGCACATTATTGTAATAAATCCAAGAAAAATAAATCCGACTATAATTAATTAATCCATTAACATAACAATATATGCTTAAATCTTTAAAACTATGCAACAGATTTTGATATTATGGTTTTTTTAATAGATATAGTGATTCTTACGGAAGGTTTATATGTATAATACATGCATATTGCACCCGTGCGAAGCAGGGGCAGGTCGTTAGTACATAATAACTAAAAGTTGGGCTTTTAAACGCCCATGTACCTAACACCCACTGTTCACTATTTATGCTATGAGTCCCATGTAATAGGGGGTGAGCCTATTGCCATATACCGGGCACTTCAAACCCGATTGAAAAAGAGTAACCTATGGAGTTTCTTGCTCGTTCTTCTCCATAGGAATCTACACCTTGGAATGAGCAACTAGCTTCACTTCTAAATTTTCGTTGTTGACGTTCAAAAGTGCCTTCCTGGTCTAATTTATATTTGAAACACTTTTTTGTTTAAAACACTGCCCTACACAAGGTCGTTGAAAACAAAGAGACTGCCTTGTTGGCCAAGTGGTCGCAAGTGTGACTGCTGGGCAAGGGGTCTCGGGTTCGATTCCCGGGTCGGGTAAAGTATTACTGGGTGTTAAAAAATCTCAGTAGTAGCACGGAGCCTGGAAATGTGCCCGGTATATGGCAATAGACTCACCCCCTATTACATGGGACTCATAACATAAATAGTGAAAAGTGGGTGTGATATATTGTACAGTGACATTATGCCGTAATGTACACATCTGCCTACACCTTCGGGGATAAAAAGCATGATGTTATGTTATGTTCATTTTTTTAATTCTTTATTTATTTAGGCACTTTAAACAATATGTTACAACAGTTTAGATGATTCATGATGACACTAATTACATTCATTTAATGATGCATCATTAGTCTAGACTAATGATGCCCTAATTACATCATGTGGTATTTTTATACCTCGGAGAACTAAAAAAATACTAAAAATCTAATAGGTAGTGTAAAAAGTATGTATACATTTGAATTTAAATAAAATATTTAGAAAGACACCCAGGTTCAGCTTGAAGGATAGTAAAAACAAAAATGGTATAAAATTTTAATGAAATATGAAGGAAAACTTCGTGAGAAAACCTTCTAATGTATAGAGAGACTTCTAATGTATAGAGAGACTTCTAATGTATAATTATAAGTTTGAAATCGCAAACTCGCAATGAGCAAGCATGGTGATTAATACTCAAACCTTTCCATGTAAGAGGAGGCCTTTGGTTAGCAGTAGACACTTATAGAATGTTGATGATACCTTAATAATATTAATCTTTTCTTATACTCTTATACTATTATATAAAGCGGAAGAATTTGTATTTTGTTTGTTTGTTTGAACGCGCTAATCTCCGTAACTACAAGTCTGATTTGAATAATTATTTTTGTGTTGGATAGCGCATTTATCGAGGATGGCTATAGGCTATAAAACATCACACTACGACCAATAGGAGCTGAGCAGAGTGTGTGAAACCGCGCGGAAGTAGCTAGTTAATATTATAAATGCGAAAGTATGTGACATTTGAGTATGTTTGTTACTTACTCAATCACGGCAAAACGACTGAAGGGATCGGGATGAAATTAAACAGGGGTAGATTATAGTCTGGAATAACACGTAGGCTACTTTTTATCCCACGGAAATGTGGGCGAAGCAGCTGGTTTAAAATAAAAAACATTGTTTACCTTTACAGCAGTTAGTTTTCTTCCTTGTCGATAAGGTAGGCGAGTTGCACATAGACTCTGTTGCTCGTGATGAGGAGGGAGCTCAACTTCATTGCTGTCTTCGGACATTGTTACTTGTTATTTATCAATTATTAATAAAATAATAAATCACTGTACATACAAAAACAACACGATCAAGTGACAGTAAACTCAACTCAATGTGACAGTTCGAGTTTGACCGCAATGAGTGTTGCCAGCGCCAATCCTTAATGACAACTATGCATTTTTAACATTGTTAACATTGGCAATGTTGTTGAATTTTAGTCGAGTTGTATTCGACTAAAGCTCAAGTTAATAACAAAATATTTAATATAGTCTGTAATTACAGGGTCACATGCCTAACACAAAGAGAGGAAAAATAACTAAAGAAAGAATTTTGCAAATATGCCACAGAAAATATTAATTTTGACAATCTATAGTTCCGGAATTCAAACCTAGATGTAGTTGATGGTATCGGTATTCGGTTCTAAGTGTGTCGGCTCATATCGCGGAAATATAATTATTAGCGGGAAGTTTTCGCTCTTTATAGGATAATGTACTATTAGAAAAATTCACTATATTTGAGTTTAATATATGTAGAAAGATACCCAGGTTATGCATAAAAGGCAATAAACACAAAAACGGGATAAAATCGAATACGATGAAGGAAAATGGTGTGAGTAAACCTGGACTTATAATTTCTAATTAAAAGTTTGAAATTCCCTGCATTGAGCAAGCGTGGTGATTAATGCTCATTCCTTCTCAGTGGGAGATGAGATCTTTGCTTGGTTGTGGGCAGATAAAGGCTGTTGATGTAGACATTTGATGTAATGGCGATAGGTTTGCTTCAATAGACTCATACATAACACAACTTTAAATGTGGGAGCGCCATGCTTCGACACGAATGGGCCGGCTCGACCGGAGTGATACCACGGCCTCACACAAAACTGACGTGAAACAATGCTTGCTTTGTGTTTTGCCGTGTGAGTGAGGTTACCGGAGGCCCAATTACCCCCTCCCTAGTCTCCCGAATCCCCGAATCCTCCACAATCCTCAAATTCCCAATTCCGAAAAGGCCGGTAACGCACTTGTAACGCCGTGGTATTTCGGATGTCCATGGGCAACGCCGATTGCCTATCATCTGGTGTTCCGTCTGCTCGTTTACCGGCTTATGCAATAAAAAAACTGGTGAAGTTTTAATAAGTAGCATTTTTTTTAATTATTGTTGTGTGTCGTAGCAAAATAAATGGTTTTTCTTTCTTTCTTTCTTTCTATTTAATTTTAAACCGCATCATTGCTTACCACCGGGCGAGATAGTGGTCAAACGTCAGCCCATCAAATATACTTAATTATAAAAAGAAAGGGAATAAAAACACCGTTTTGTTTTTAAATAAGTTACTTTTACTTCTGCTTAAATTAATAAATTAATACCATTTTTCAAGAAAAACATTAAAAACACTCAATTCATCATTTATAAATTAACAAAAAAAAAAGTTACATGGTTACATTTAGGATAATATACTTACTACAAAATGAACGATTTAACAAAAAAGTATTCAGTACACGAACTTATCACATTGCTTGATTCGTTAATTTGCTTGGCAAAAAAGAGTTCGTAATAATTGAGGTCGCTAGTATCGTACCTACCTGTCACAATCTGGTACACTACGACTCAACCGGTTTTGATTGATATTTGTTATTTTTATCGAGTTTAAAAAGAGGAGGTACTGTGTTCGGATGAATGTTCATTTATGGGATATGGTCCGAAGTAGTAGTTCCATCTGTCACCGCATCAAACTCTTTTTGCCAAACTGTAAATAAAGACGTTTAAAGACCTTTCTTACTCCAACGGCTCCAAATCTAAGATCCGCAAAATATGTGTAATCTCTTTTAAAACAGTTACACGCCAACTTGCAAGATTATCTTCTTTAATTACATCATGTAGTTCAGGACAGTCTTTAGTATCGTAAGAACATTTTTCTCTGAAGTGTAGAAGTCTACCTGGACCTTCCGGAGGCACATCGCTGAAGGAACATGGTGTGTGACACGATATGGGCAAGTGGTTGTGCATAGCTATTACAGATGATGTGTTGGCAAACGACTTGATCATATATCCTGTAAAAAATATATTTAGGTATATTAAAAAGTAGCTTTTATGCAGCTTGGCATCTAAGGCGCGGACCCACCGCGGCGCATGCTGTGCACGAGCACGCGGCGCATTTTAGCTGCGTGTAATAATTTGTTTGACAACGTAGGTCTACGTTGCCACTGGAGTACACGAATATGTACCACGACTACGTACAGCTTGACACGGTGCACCTGGGCGTGCTCGGCCGTGGTATCACTCCGGTCGAGCCGGCCCATTCGTGCCGAAGCATGGCCCTCCCGATCCATGGATAAGTGAGCTGTACATAGTCGAGGGTCATATTCGTGTACTCCAGTAGAAATGTAGACCCACTTCGACAGCGTTGAGCTATGGAACCGCCTATTCGACTACGCCACGCATGTATCAATGACATCAATTCATGCGTAGCCTCTCCGTGGCTTGCAGTGGACACAACCACTTACATTTCTTCCAAAGCGAAGCTTAATACACGTGCGTAGGCTCTCCGTGCACCGCGGTGGGCCCCCGCCTTTATGGCCATTTAATCTAAACGTGTATACAAAATTTCAGCGCAATCAGCTGAATATATCTGCTTTAAAGTTCAGTTTTAATATACTACTTCATACACATATGTTGCAAGTGATATAAACAATAGCTTGTTACAATAATATAATTAAAGCTTCCAGGTAAGACGCGTGCTTCTCATGCATGGTTGCCCTTTTTTGTTGACGGGGAACGTTCAAAAGACACATAGCTATTTGGGGAAAAAGACTAGGGATTTTTGTGGCTACCATCCGGACCTGAAGGAATCACAGGGTCCTCTTAGTAGACCAACCCCGGAGCCCCCACAGTGCAACGCCTGTTAAGGCACCTCTTTTTGGAGACCTGTGTTTTCCTATAGCCTCTCTGTGCAGTGCACGACCGCCGTCTTCCTTGAGATCTTTAGGTGGGCGCCTAGAAATCCTAATCTATGCGCCCATGACCCCGAAGGTTTGCCTGCTAATATTATCTGAAGGTCAAAGGTCTGCTTATCAACATGTTAGGCGCCGCGGCGGTTGTCTCTACAACGCCATCGACAGGCGGGATCGGTCCTCTCACATGCATAGTTGCCTTGCCACTGCGTACTCAAAAGATTTGTTTGACCTTATTGAACTCACCAGCTGGACTAGGCACAATAGCCCGCCAAGTGTGCGACAGTATACGTGCTTTAGAAGGTCCTGCCAAATCTTTCTGAGCTCCATCCAACACGAAGAAGTTTCTAAAGACCAGAGCATCAAATGCTCTACCAGACCTATTGGCTATTTGTGCCTCGATCATTGAAGACAATGTTTCATTTCTGTAAAAAAATTGAATTACATTGTGGTGCCATCTATTGTTGCATGCGAAGATGTGAAGTTTAAATAATAGATCGATAGATGGCGTGCTTAGCAATATTTGTAAGTTATGTGTTTGAGAAAAAAATTGTTTTAATACGTGTATTATTTTCTGCATTCATTAATGTCTTGTATAACATTATTAAGGGTATATACTCACGGAGGAGGTACAATAATCTCATCCAAGTCTATGGATAGCAACCAGGCGTGGCGCAAGATGTTCCTATAGAGACAGTCGTTCAGAGGTAGAAGTTCCCTCCTCAAGTCTCGAAAGTCTCGGTCACTTTTTGATTGCTGCAGCCCAGAGATTTGTGGCGGGTGGTCGATCTCTGTGACTACTACAAAACCTTGTTCTACGTAGTACTTTAAGACTTTTCGTATGTTTTGGTGTATCTGGAAGAAAATGTTCAAAGATACAATTATAAGCAACAGTTGCATTGATGATCGCACGCAAAAAAATTAATGCATTTGAACTCTTCTGTCGTTGTGAATGTCCATTATCGTACTGATCATTTCATCACTTACCATCACGTGATCCGTCTGCTCGTTTACCGACCTATACCACAACCCATATAGCCAATTTTGGTCGCCGATTTGTAAAAGGTGTAACAAGTCGCATCAGTTTCGTAACTGATACGACATATTGCGACTGTGTGGGAGTGCACTTCTATTTGTCGTAACCGCTTAGTAACAAAGTGACAAAAAGTAGTTGTAGTAACTTAGTGTTGTAGCTGTGTCGACTTGTTACAGAAAAAAATGTGTACACACGATTTACACACTTTGCGTAGTGTATGTAACTAGTGTACAATATTGGTAACAATGTGTAGTAACTGAGTGGTAACATGTGTAGTTGCGTTACGTCAATGTTCCGGAATACTTTAAGACTAATTTGGATAAATGGAAATCACTAGAACCAGTCATTCTCAAACATGTCTTATGTTAACTACCGGTATACAGTTTAATTAAAATAAAAAATGAGTAAACTACCCAAAATGTCACGTAGATTTCGGTGGACTTCAACATTTTATAGAAGAGTTAATGAATTAACGAACCAAAATAAAACAAGTACAAGTAAGTTTATCCTATCCTATAATAATAAATTTATAAATGCGAAAGTTTGACAGGATGAATGTTTTTCATCACGCAAAAACTACTGAACAGATTTTGATGTAATACAGTAATATAGCTGATACATCACAATAACTACTACGACTTTTCATCCACTGCTAGGCATGGGTCCACGCGATCTCGTCTTCAGTGTCTTCAAAGTTGGAATAAAGGTTCTCTAATTTGAGTCCTTCCGCAAAAGTGTCGATTTCGTTGACCTTTACTTTGCATTTTATTTTTTTCCAGTTTTCGGCTGGCACGGTGTTTTCATCCCGTCTTAAGAGCTCCAAGTCGCTGTTTTTTTTTGTACGCTGCCAATAAAGGACATTGTCTCTCACCCACGTACTTGGTACAAGGGATATTAATTGAGATGAGCCTTCTTTAGTTAAAACAATGCAATATGGCATTTTGTCAGGCAAACTATAGTTTGGGAAACTGTGGACAAACAATCAAAGAGAAACCATTTTAAAAGTTCAGTTACTTTGTGACGACTTTCCGTAACATGTCCACACAATGTCGACACATTATCGTAACTTTGTAACTTGTTGTGACGAGAATGTTTTTCACTTAACAAAAAATGTTTTTTCAATATTTATCATTAATACGGTTTAATACAACTAAAATAGTTTATTATTAAATATTCAACTTTATTATTGCATTCAAATAGACGCTTTTGAGATTAAAAAATAAAAATATCATTAAAATAAAACAATGTGTAATATCGTCGGAATGGTTAAATTATGATAATAATGTGGCGCGTTGAGAAATGACAATGACCAAAGAACAATGGCGAGATTATACCTGGATTGTTTTAGAAGCGTCTATAAACGAGACCTATGAAAAACGTAATGAGGTAATTAAATTGATTTTTATACGATTTTAGTTTCAAACGTAAAAGCCTCAGTATTTATAATGAGAAATAAGTTATTAATTGTATTTATATCCGGTGCTAGTTTTGGTTGATGTTTGTTAGAGTTACCATTTATAAAAAAAAATATAAAATAGTATTAAGTCGAAAAAAATGTTAAAGTCGTGTATAAACCAACAATACCCAAAAATAAATCATTGTAATGTTAAACAACATATAAGAATTGGTTAGATTTGTTATTTTGTGAAAGAAGTCGCGATTTTATATATTATTTTGATATCACAATAATCATTAGTAGTAATTAAAAGAAAATGTAATGGCAACACTAAGTGGTACTGTCAAATGTCGTAATAACTTCGTTATTCACAAAGCTTGTTTTGGTATAATATTGTTTTGTTCTTTTCGTCGTTTTTTCGTGAATTATCTGTAATTTTGACCCTCGCATTGCCCCTGGACTTGATTCGCTGCGACTTTATACGACGACTTTTGCTTTCTCACGGACGATCTGCGCTATAAGTACACTATAACTGTTGCTTTCCAAAAAGGACTCGATTGTTTCTCAATTTTTTGTGAAGATGCGAAGTAACAGGCCTACACGCATTTTGTGCGCGAATTGCAACATTTGCGTCATACCCTTCGGCGATATCGGATCTTAGATCAAAACACAAGAGTGTGTACCATGATCTGCAACTGGGTTTATCCACAAATCGTAAGTTTTTAAACTATAATTTATAAGAATATTTCGTAGCTATAACTTTTTACTGCAGAAAAACCATCTTCAAATCGTGTACGACTCGATAATTGACCAGTAATTTATTATTGTACTGCTTGCAACTTCAGTAAGACTGTCTTATGTTAAACCATTCTATAATAACACACAATAGTCCCATTCATTTTAGTCAAAAAAGGCACAGTAGCATTTTTCAAAGCTGTGTAAAATACTAGAAAAGTTATGGTTTTTCCTATTTTTTAGATTACCGAAGACGATTGTGTCTGTGAAGCATATTGGGAACTGTCTATGGTTGCAGTTAACCAGAATTTGCAACAAGATAGTAATAAGGCTGGACAATCTGGACCGAGTCAACGAGGACATAATTCATGTGTGCCTTCTGTGTGAATGTTCATTAGTACGAAGGCAAAGGTAAAATACTTAAAGACAACCTAACAGGGCTACAACTGGATATGATAAATATTATTCAAATGAAAATAGAACCAGACAGGTACGTAGTTCATATTTAAACTGTCAAACACCAAGCGGTCACCGGTGACCGCAACCTATTGTTCTTTAATTGTGTCTATAAATATGGTACTTGACGAGTTAATTTTCTATTCATTCTACCCTATTTACCGCTTGATGCACGATATGAGACAAAATAGAAAATACATTGTGTCTGCGTAGATCACATGAAAGGTTAAAATAAATTCATATTATAAATTCCCCTAAATATATATGTATATATATATATATAAAATAATATAAATAATACTATTTAGTTTTTTTTTTAGTTTGTTACCCATCACAAAGATTGTTAAAAAAATAATAATATTACTAACTTCTTACACTTATTATAATAACTTCTTAGATGTTTTGTAACTAACATTATTTTCATTCCGTTGTAGCTAACATCATCTGATAAGGTGTGTCATGCCTGTTGGTTGCGAACTAAGAGAGAAGCTCTTCGTATCAACCATGTTGATGAAATGAGACCACCTGAAGCAATGCCCCAAAATGAAAATCTATTACAGGATAATGAAGTTCATGAGAATCCTCGAGCTGCTAACACTGGCTGGTCAATAGAAATCAATATTGCCAGATTATAAGAGGGCAGCCAACATCAATTGGTAATTCATCGTGTGTTTTTATTCGCCTTGGGAATGTATCAAATACTTCAAGCTCGATCGTACTATGGCGAGCATATACGTTTCCATGGCGGATATAGGATTGAAGCGTGCAATGAAAATATAAATTCCTCTAAATACAATGTACTACGCAGTAAAGAAACGATTTTAATAAGAGGGAAAATAAAATCGCGTCACATTTCTAGGAAGCAGTACTATGTTAATATTTTAATTAAAAATACTACCGGCAGATCCGGTATAGTTAGTGGAATACTGCTGTTGCTGTTTGGTTGGTCGGCGTACTGTAGTTTGTTGCGCACACGTGATGACCCTCGTGTGGTAGGTATCTTGGATGGGCCAGGCATTACAACAATTTATCAGCACCGGCAGGGTTCCTAGACGATATAGTAATACGAGAAGATGAATAAATGGTTCAAAATCTTGAAACCTGTTTTATTTAACCCTTAAATGCTGTTATTCATATTTCCTTATAAAAGCTTACCTTTAGCCAGGTTTTTATTTAAGGGGGGATAATCATCAAATTACTGCTCAGGACTGTGTGAGGCGGGAGGGAGTGTTAGACTCTTACTGGTTAAAAACCACCCCGTTCCTTCTTCTGCACGTTGAGCCGGAGTCCCGGTAACCCGTTAGGTTCTCCGCGTTATGGCAGGTCTAGGCCTGCGTTGCCTAACGGCCTAATGCTCTAATTGATCTTTAAAACTTGTGAAACATAGATCCTGAAACCTATCGTGTGTTATAACTGTGATAGTTTTAATATTATCACGTTTTAACGTGGACTTGAATCAATCTAGGTATACCTAACGATATTTTTTTCACATCTCATTTCTTATTTTTGCATCACTGCATTAGGTACATTAAGTTTTGTAGTCTACGAAGTTACTTTTACAGTGACATAACCTCAAAATATAAAAATGTTAATATCTTTTTTTTGTGGCCTTCTTAAATTAAAATTCTCGATGATTATGCTTAAGTAATAGATCCCCTATGATTTTAACATTTTTTCGGACATAGACGCTTCAAACCGATTCCAGGTAAAGTGTTGTATGGGAACTTGCCATTGTTCTTTGTATGGAGCGTGGTGCCTTTTCATTTTTTCGCGGCAGTTGATCGTTTAGGAGCTAGGTAGGAGAGCCTAGTGTCCTAGAGGAGGTTTCTTCTTATCTTCTAGTAGTAGTAAAACTCCGATGAGAGGTGTTGACAAGAATGATTTTATTTCGCCAAACTACGCTACTTATATTTCTATTTACATATTTACAACTAGACAAGATCAGATATAGTTAGGTGACAGTTTCGACCAATAGCGGCGCGCCGGCGTGCGCGGGGCGCGCGGGGTGCGGGGCGCCGCTTTGCACACGGCACTATCGGTTCCTTCCGTATAAGTATGACCGCGCGGCGCGAGCGCGCGCATTTCTCCGAGAGCCGGCGTCGAGTGAAGACTGAAGACTACCTACGGATGAATGAAGATGAATGCAAGTACTCCGGCCTCCGGCTCCGGCTCCGCTTGCGCTGCTTGGCTGCTTGCTTTACCAAACCGCTTCTTTCGAAGCGATCGCTCGCG